ATAGAGATTGCCACAAAACCCCACTTTAACTTTCAGATATAATTAGAAAACTTCTTTGACTTTGAGATTTTATTAGTAAACCCTTTTTAACTTTCAAAATATTTAAAATTAGGGGATTTACTGATAAAATCTCAAAGTTAAAGGGTTTTCTATAACTCCTAAACCTAAAGGTTTTTTTTTTTTTTGATATTTTGTAAGTAAAGGGGGTTTTGCCGATAATAGTGCAAAGGTAAAGGGGTTTTATGATACTTAGCCTAAACGTTAAATCCAATTTTGAAAAAAAGAAACCGAGCAACTCTCAGGCACAAAAGCAGAGGACCAAAAATTCCTCCGAGCTAGATTTCAGCCAAAACTACAGCCAAACCATTCCGTTTACAAACTTCCAATGCCGACTGGGCAGCACACTACACTGACCAGAACCCAACACTGATGAACTCGACGTCGCCAACGAGCTCAACGATGAAGTCGACGACGCCCTCGACCCAGACGACCGTCTCAAATCCGCCATCCCCTCATAATAAACTCGCCCACGGTACGCCACAATATCCGCGTAATACACGGGCGTAGCGAGCGACACAGGCTTCGTGCACCTCGCAAACGTAAAGCACAAATTGTACACTAGCCTCTGCACCTCGTCACAACTAAATCCATGTTCATCGTGAAGAACATGGTAATGTGTTGGCTTGCTTGTGCCCAAACTTCCATAGTGGCTGCAAAGATAGAAGTTGAATGTCGACGGGTCGACGATGCCCGCGTCCACGACCGTGCCCGGAGGAACATTTCCGACGTTGGAGTTGTCGTCTCGGTTTCTGAACAGCCGAGTGTGGTGCCTTTTTTGGGCTACGATGACCGTGATTGTTGGTGAGTAGTAATGTGATGAGATTGTCGATCGGATGTCTCGGACCTCTTCGTTGAGGACCATGTCGAATTGGCCGTCGCTGACTCCGTCGCGGAAGTAGATTATTTTTTGGGGTTTGACGCCGTTGTGTTGTTCGTAGACGTCGATGAGCTCTTTGCACATTGTGCCTGCGTCGATAATGCGCTCGACGCGGTGAGTTTGGGCTCGGATACTTGAAGCGTACCTGAAGAAATTCACAGAATTGTTGTTATTGTTTTCAAATATAAATTGCAATTTTTATTCCCCAGTGTAATAATATTGACTTCAACTCGGTAGAGTTAATTGGTAACCGACTGTAATCAAGATAACTTAGTTAATCCTTCAATCAATTAGGCGAACACTGCTAATAAATAATCACCTATGAATCTCAATTTTCAGATTTATAATTGTGTTTCGAACTAAATTGTAAATTTCTCCTGTGCATCTACCGGGGATATCATTTTTGTAGTCATCATTTACTTGACTTATTGCAATCTCATCCATATATTATTTATTTATTTGTTTGTTTGTTTTTGGAGATAAAAAAATAACCTTATACTATTTTGCAAACTCATCCAAATATTATTATTTTCGGACATGATTAATTACAGATTCACTGTCTATACTACGAGTGTATAGTTAATTATATCCTTAAACTATTTATAAAACATTTACACTCCAGCCGTTTTTTCAGTTTTATTGAGATGTCACTCGAGAATCACAACAATGAAAAATTACTCTTTACTCTAATTAAGTTTAACTAAAGAAAGACTAAATTGTCATCTAAAATGAGAACAATAAAAATGACAGTCCGAGTATAAATACTAATAGACATCAGAGTTAACTACACGTAGACCCCGCATAGCATCACAATCGGAACTTATTATTACTCGTGAAATTCGACTTTGGCAGATAGACCTCCCAAGTGAAATTTTCTTTTTTGACTCTTTTACGCTGGGTGAAATTTTGGCAGATAATACCCCTGTGGGAAATGAGTCCATCTAAGAGTAAAAGAGTAAAAAAGAAGCGGTCTGCCTGTCAAAATCAAACTACATGAGTAATAAGTTTTAAAGCTTGATGCTACGTCAGAGGTCTATGTGCAATTTCTCCTAAATATTATCCTAACAACGACCAACTTTATTTTGATTGCTAGACAAGTAAGACTAACAATAAAGTACCTGGTGGACTGCGGATTAATGCTCCCAACCATGGCAGCAATCGACGGACTTGTCCTATTCCAACTCGCCGGATGATTCACATCGGCCCCAACAATCATAAACGGCCGCCCATCCGCCTCCATCCTCGGCAATGCATCGAACAACTCTGCATTACTCCCGCCAAGCTTCACATTTATCTTAAGCGCCAAATTGCCAAGATACAATTCCCTCTTACTCACATTATTACAATGATAACTCAGACAACACTGCGTCAGTATCCCAAGCTCAGTCTCACATATCAACTTCAATGTCTTAAACCCCGGATGCTTATCCGACATCATGCAAATGAGAAGGTCAACTTGTTGAGGTTGAGTTTCGGTGAGCTCTTCGTATAGCCATCTTGAGCTTGAAAGTACAGCCATTGCGGATTCGCGGACGAACATGGGTTTTTCGGGTATTTTGATGCCGAGGGATTTGAATTTCCGAACGAGGTGAGAGATGAAGGGAGAGATTTGGAGGGATTGGTGGTTTGGGTTTGTTGGGGTTGCGCTGAAGTCGAGGATTGCCCAGGATTTGACAGGTTTGGGATTGAGGAGTTTGTGGTTGAAGAGGTTGTATTGGCATTTGTCGTTTTGGATTTTGAATTTGCAGATTTGACCGTTGGCTTTTGCGAGTTTGAGAATTGGAGGATTGAGAACTCGACCAGTTATCTGTGTCATTTCTTTGGTGATCGAGACGTTGAAGTTCTTCGCGAGATCTCCACTGTACCATGATTTTTCAAAGAAAATGATAGTAAGTGAAATTTGACGTGTTTTGTTCCCATCAGATATAGGTGAATGCAAAGGTGCATATTAGGATTGAACTGATTTAGTAGTAGTTGAAAGTTCAGTTTTTGTTTCAAATATATCTAATTGAGCTTTTAGAACAGCAGTCTCTGCTTTCTGGCATCTATAGAAATGTTGGAAGTATCCATAATAGATGAAAACATTTCTACATGAAACCTTCTGGAAGTTTTGGCCTTTTATCAGCAAGAAGAGCAATAATTTGAAATTTACTGGAGTGTATATTATTATAGTAAAAGTTGCTAGTTAATCTAATAAATTTCTAGTTATAACTCAAAATGATAAAGAAATACGGAGAAATGAGGCATTTTTGTATAGGGAAATGATTCAATCATGCAACTTTACAGAGGCTTGCTGATTGGCTAATAAATACTAAATGAACTATCTACCAAAAATACTAAATGAGCTTTTGATTTTAGTGGTTATTTCGATGGAAAATTGCCCTTCTTTCTTTTACCATCACATGATCTCAACAAAAATATGTGCACTTTAGGATTGAATTGAAATAGTAGAAGTTGAATGTTTAACTTCTGCATCTTAGCACTCTGTTGAAAGAATTTTGAAGTCTCCAGAATATGTGGGAAATAAATCAACACGAACCTTATGATACTATTCTTCTGTTTTCCAGAAAAAGAATTAAAACTCGAAATCTAATTGATACAATATATACTAAATTTAACATGAAAAATGTGAAGATATACCTGCAAGGTCCATTTGCATCATTGATCACGTCCATAATCTTCTCCTTCCTCAAACTAGGACAAGATGAAGCAATATCCCTCAACTTCTTCTCCTCCTCTTTCCCCAAATCCTCCTTTGGATAAACTTGCCCTTCAATGATCTCACAGAATTCCATCGGCACAAAATTCATATGATCCTTACTCAAATCCAAACAAGGCAAACTCTTATACCTCACCTCAACCTTATACCTCTGCCTATAATAATCAACAAGCTTCTTCTCTCTACCAGAGTTATCATCTTTAAACACAATATCCTTTGTCATTAATTCGGTCAGCCCGAAAAATCTGTAAATTTTGATTGCTCTTTCCGATGAGTTACACTCACTCGAACTTCTTCCAATGCATACTCAATTGCCAATCTTTGAGTTTCGGTTAATTTTACATTTTCAGTGAATTTAATCCGTAAATTTTCTTGGAGGTATTTGAGCACTGGTCCAGGCTTTCGAACTGGCATTATAGAATCATCAACAGATAGCATTAGACCGAGCTCTGTGGATTTTGTAGTTTGATGTGAGCCTTGAAGAGCTATAATCCCTCTCCCTAGATTATAAGAATGGTTGGCTCCTTTGGAGTACAGGTTTCTGCCAATGGCAAATTTTTTGAGAGCTGAATCCTTTCGGATTATGACATCTAGACCTTGTAAGACCTCTCTTGAGACTGGAGATCCTTTGAGCTTTGAGAGATTTAGCTCTTTTTTGTACTCGATGGTGGCAACATAAATTTTTCGATGTGATTCAACTTTGAATTGGCCAACAGGCAATTGGATTGAACTGTAAACATATCTGTGACCATCATAGGCTATTGATGAAGAGGGGAAGAGATCCTTTCGGGAGTTGAATAGCTTGTGCTTGATTGATGAGAAGTCTGCCTTTGAGATTTCAGCAGTTGATTTTTCGAGCTCTACTTTGAATTCATAGTGTAAGATTCTGCCTTTTTCGTCGTAGTTGATGGGGAAATGATTGACAAGGATGTTGATCGATTGATTACGTGATGTTTTGGTTTGATTTGGCCGTTGCATAGGCACTAATTTGTTCAGGGGTTTTGCTGTTGAGATTTGCAATGAGTCCAGTTTTGATGGTAATGGGTCTGCAAATTTCAGCATGCAAACTGCAAGTTTATGATTTTAACAATAAAAGTAGAAGATAAGAAGCTACCAGCTAATGTTATATGCTAGAGACTTTTGATTAACATAGTCTAAATTGCTAAATTGCAGAATAATCCCATTGTTTACACTTTAATAGTCCAAATGGCTACTAGAAAGTTTCTGCAATTAGCCAACCAGAACAAAGCTCGTCGCAAGAGACTTGCATGTTTCGTACTTAAATCTGTCACTGAATGAATAAGCATGCCTCAAACTGACATCGAAAAATGTTAATTTCCCATCTTTTGCACTTTAATGTCCTACTAGTTGTCTGCCTAGAAATAGTATCATAATTGAATTTTTTTTTCAATTTAGACTATCAAAACTAACTGAAAATGGTAACAAAAATTTGCTTAGCTTAGTCCTTTAATTCTGAAATGGAATAAATAAGCAGATCTCAAACTGACGTACGTATCAGAAATGCTAAATTCATTCCTAATCCTGAATACCAAGGTCAAGATACTAAGTTCACTCACCAGTGATACACCCTGCAATTGGCTGAGGTACAACTTCTTGCTTTTTGTTCTCATTGTGATCGTTTCTCGTTACCTCTGACTGGTTCAATTCCTTTCTCTGGCCATGTCCTCTTGTATCAGGCCCGTGCACTGAAGCACTGGTCTTGTTGCCGGAATTGGGCCTCGGGCCTCTATTCTTGGCCTGATTGCCTCCTCGGGGTTTCTTCACTTGGAACTCCATGACGGAGAATGAAGACCTTGCAGGAGACATAGATGAAGACATACATATATATATATATATACAAGCATGGGAATAAGAGACGGGGACTACAAGTGCAAAATTAAAAAAAAAAGATGATAGCATTTGTTAACGACATAATAGCTTAAGTAATTGGACAAGGGTATAATTGGAAGTTTAGAATAAAAGACTGACTGTCTCATTAGCTTGGCCTTAAGGGGGTTTGACGAAGGTTTAGGTGTTCAAATTCATAGAGATGATCGGTAGAATGATTGAGATTAAATTAGAATGAAGGGAGATGCAGATTATTCCAAAGGGATTAGATGACTGTATAATACATAGAAAACTTTTGGCAGTTTTATTGAAAGCAGACTGGAAAAAAAAACTATCACATGCTACTGGAGGGGTTGTATTCATACTATTTTAGGGAATCAATGCTAAGGGATAATATTATGAATTTGCAGTTTCACACACGATATGTTTTTTTTAATCACTGATATATTTTACATCGCCGCATGATATTAGACCAATTTCATATCTTTTTAAGTTCACTTCCATCGGATCCATCAACCATTTAATCAGACTTTTTTCTGCTGAATCAATTAAAATATCAGATACGCTCTACGAAGAGACTATTTACTGGTCCTAATTGTCAGCCTAACAAAACAAAAGTGGGGCCCATAAAGGCGGGCCCCACAAGAAGAAAAATCAAATTCGGTGGCAGCCATTGTTGAGAATTTATAAAGGATGTGGGTCCCACAAATATTTTATTAGTGGCGGGTCCCACAGATAATATTATATTTGTGCATAGTGTTTTCTCAAACACTATAAATAGGGCCCTAAACTCTTAAGGAAATCTCATCCCAGAAACAACTCCTCTTATAGAAGAGTAAGAGAAAACAAAGAGAGAGTTTGTGAGAGTTCTTGGAGTGTATCTGATCAAGAGAGGGTGTTCTCTTGGATCAATTCTTTTGGGATATAAAAGAATTTGGCGTCGTCATTGCACCGTAGAGTAGCTCCGAAGGAGTGAACCACATATATCTGTGAGTACTCTGTGTTGAATTTTGTGCCTTTATTTTGTGATTAAGTCTCCGTTCGAGGCTTTATTATTGGGGTGAATCCTAACAACTGGTATCAGAGCCTGACTTAGAGTATATATATCTGCTTATCGTATGCTCTGTGGCTGCCACTAAAAGTGGATCCTCCACATCAGAAAATAAGTTAGATTAATATTTACTCTTTTAAAGCATTGGGCACTATTCACGTGTACGGCACTATTCACGTGTACGGTACTATTCACGGATACGGTACTATTCACGAATACGATACTATTAACGGCTACGGTACTATTCACGGGTACGGTACTATTCACGGATACGGTACTATTCACGAATACTATACTATTCACGAATACGGGAAAGACGTAATCTTTCGCCATGGGATCTACAGTTGAAGACAACAGGCTTCGAATTGAGAAGTTCGGCGGCCAAAATTTCAGGTATTGGAGGATGCAAATAGAAGACTATTTGTACCAGAAGGATCTCTTCCTACCCCTCCAAGGAGAGGCGGGGAAACCTGAGAAGATGGACGACGATAAGTGGAAGGTGCTCGATCGTAAAGCACTTGCCACCATCAGGCTCAACCTTCACCAGCATGTGACTTACAACGTCTCGCATGCGACCACCACCAAGGAGTTGATGGAGGCCTTGGAGGCGCTGTATGAGAAGCCGTCTGCTTCAAATAAGGTGTACCTGATGAAGAAGCTATTCAATCTCAAGATGCAGCAAGGAGCTCGCGTGGCGGACTTCTTGAACGAATTTCAGGCTGTGGTGCAACAGCTTGCTGCAGTAGATCTAAAGTTCGACAACGAGATCCAAGCTCTTCTGCTACTTTCTTGTCTACCAGATTCATGGGAGAATATGGTGATGGCGGTGAGCAACGCTAATGGCAATGGCAAGATGAAGCTCGACACAGTGGTTGGGACAATTCTGGATGAAGAATCTTGTCGCAAAGTCTCAGGAGCTGAGGCCTCTAGCAGTGGGAGTGCTCTACATGTCGAGGCACGAGGGCGTGCACAGAAGAAGGGTAGGGGACGATGAGGCCAATCAAAATCCAGAGGGAAGTCTAAAGGGCCTAACCCGAATGGTTACGGTGAAGGGAAGTGCTTCAGATGTGGAAAGAAGGTCACTTTGCACGGGACTGCATAGTTACTATTCAAGCATCAGCAGGGGATGATCGGGCTGACGGTGCAGCCAATCTCATGCACGAAACGGATTCGGATGCACTTCTCCTATCCCTAGAAGACAAAGTGATGCGTGGGTCATCGATTCTGGAGCATCTTTCCATGCAACCTCACAACAAAAGCTGCTTTCATCGTTCGTAAAGAAGGACTTGGGGACAGTCTATCTTGGCGACGATCAACCTTGTAAGGTTTCCGGGAAGGGAAATTGTACCCTCAAGATGGAGGGCGGGACCACCTTGACGCTGAATGATGTTCGGCATGTACCAAATCTCAGGCGAAATCTTATATCAGTCGGGCAACTGACTGACTCCGGTTACAGAGTATCCTTCGAGCAGAGATGCTGGAAGGTGTCCAAGGGTGCCCTGGTGGTGGCACACGGCAAACGCGAGGGGTCTCTCTACATCGCCAACGAGAAGATTGACCACTTGCTTGCCGCAGGACAAGCATCATCATCATCATCCGTCGACTGCATGACTTGGCATCGACGACTTGGCCACATGAGCGAGAAGGGGATGCAGATTATGACTGCAGGAGAGAGGCTTCCGGGTCTGAACAAGATCGATCTGACTTTCTGTGAGGACTGCATCCTAGGCAAACAAAAGAAGGTGAGCTTCAACAAGACCGGACCGGCTCCAAAACTGTAGAAATTAGAGTTGGTGCACACCGACGTGTGGGGACCTGCGCAAGTCCCATCTGTTGGTAACTCTCTTTACTTTGTCACTTTTATTGATGATGCTACGAGAAAATTGTGGGTGTTCTTCTTGAAGCACAAGTCAGATGTATTCATCATCTTCAAGAAGTGGCTTGCCTGTGTGGAGAACGAAACAGGCAATAAGCTGAAGTGCCTAAAGTCTGATAATGGAGGTGAGTATTGCAGCCAGGAGTTCGAGAACTTCTGCTCGTCCCGTGGGATTCGGAGACTGAAGACCGTCCCAGGCACACCTCAGCACAACGGAGTGGCGGAGTGCATGAATCGCACTATCTTGGAGCGCGCCAGAAGTATGAGGATTCACTCCGGATTGCCCAAGAGCTTTTGGGCTGAAGCTGTCAATATTGCTGCATACTTGATCAACCGCGGGCCATCCGCGGCTCTAAATTATGGGATACCTGAAGAGGCTTGGACCGGAAAGAAGTTGAAGCTAGATCACTTACGAGTATTTGGTTGTGACGCCTATGTCATGACCAATCCTGCAGACCGGTCAAAGCTTGATCCAAAGTCAAAGAAGCTCCCTTTCATCGGCTATGGAGGAGATGAGTATGGGTACCGTTTCTGGGATCACGATGCGCGCAAGGTGGTGCGCAGTCGTGACGTCGTATTCCATGAGAATGCGGTGTACAAGACCAAAGAGGTGAGTGGGAGTCAACTATCTCCCCCTCTTTTCCCAGATATTGCTGACAGTGAGGACGGCGGTGAGATACCAATCAGCATAGAAGACGAAGACTAAGAGAATGTGCGGGATGCACAGCAGCAGGATCCAGCAGAGCTGCCGATCTCAATTCGTAAAGCTCCAAGAAATCCAAGGGTGCCAGAGATGTACCTTTCCACCATGAATTATCTTCTCCTGACTGACAATGATGAGCCAGAGAGCTATGAGGAGGTACAGGAGACCGGCAAAACTCGCGGCGAGTGGGAGTCTGCCATGGAGGAAGAAATGAAGTCCTTGATGAAGAATGAGACTTGGGAGCTTGTAAAGCTTCCACGAGGGCGAAAGGCTCTTCACAATCGGTAGATTTATCGGGTTAAGGATGAAGTCGATGGACGGAGACGCTACAAGGCGAGGCTTGTAGTGAAGGGCTATGAACAGAAAGCAGGGATTGATTATTCTGACGTTTTCGCTCCCGTCGTCAAGTTGACCACAATCCGAACTGTGCTGAGCATTGTAGCAGTTCGAGATCTTCACCTAGAACAGATGGATGTGAAGACGACATTCCTTCATGGAGATCTGGAGGAAGAAATCTATATGCATCAACCAGTGGGCTTCGAGGAACGAGGCAGGGAGGGCCTCGTGTGTCGCCTACGCAAGAGCTTGTATGGCCTGAAGCAAGCTCCGCGACAGTGGTACATGAAGTTCGAAAACTTTATGGAGGAGAACGGTTTACTCAAATGTGACACAGACCACTGCTGCTTCATCAAGAGATATGACGAATCCTATGTAATACTCTTGATTTATGTTGATGACATGTTGATTGCAGGGTCCGACTCGGTCCGCATTGAGGAACTCAAGGGGCGTCTCTCCGAGTGCTTCGAGATGAAGGATCTGGGTCCAGCAAACCAGATTCTGGGGATGAGGATCATCAGAGACAGATCAGCACGGAGGCTGAGGTTGTCTCAGAAGGCCTACATTGAGAAGATTCTTGAAAAGTTTGGCATGGAGAAAGCTAAACCGGTGGACTCGCGGTTTGCAAGTCATTTCAAGCTATCGAAGACCCAAGCACCAGAGACTGCTGAAGAGCACGAGTTCATGGCAAACATACCATATGCATCTGTCGTCGGGAGTTTGATGTATGCGATGGTGTGCACGAGGCCAGATATTGCACAAGGAGTGGGAGTTGTGAGCCGCTTTATGAGCAATCCAGGGAAACAACACTGGGGTGCGGTCAAGTGGCTTCTACGCTACTTGAGAAGCTCGTCCGACCGTTGTCTTGAGTATGGCGGGACAGATTTACAGCTAGAGGGCTTTTGTGATGCAGACTATGCCGGAGACATAGACTCGAGAAGGAGTACGAGCGGCTACATCTTCATCTTGGGTGGTGGAGCGATAAGTTGGAGATCCAAGTTACAGGATACTGT